AGAGGTTGGGGCATGGCCCTCCCCCCTTGGGGGGGGGGGTCTTGCTTTCTGTCTCTCTTTCTGGCAAGCACATGCACCCTATACAAAGACCTCTCCATAATAATAATAATAATAATAATAATAATTTTGGGCAAGCAGGTCGGACACTCCCACATGGCCAACCAGAGTTTGAGTCCCAGACCTGGTGACTTGCTTTCTCATTTTCTTTGCCCCCTCTCTGGCAAAATTAAAATAAATAGATAAATAAAGTGAAATAAAATAATCTTAAAAAAAACCAGAATGAATAAATAAAATTAAATAAATCTTTTTTAAAAATTTATAGGGACTAGCAGATGGTCGCTGAACTCCCATGTAGTCGACATGGTTCAAGTCCTGGACCTGGCGGCTTAAAACTCACATTGGGCATGTGTGCATGCGTGCCCAAAATCCCAAGAGCAGAATGGAGAAGGTGATTTCTCACTTTCTGTCTCTCTGTCTCTCTCTCTTTCCTGCGAGCGCATGCACCCTACAGCAAAAAAAAAACAAAACAAACAAACAAACAAACAAAAACACAAAAATAACTCTCTACAAATAATAATTTCTAGGGCTAGCAGGTAGCATGGTGTTTAAGGCACTGGATTCCCACATGGCTGAGCAAGTTGCAAAACCTGAACTCAGTAGCTTGAAAATCACACCATACACATGTGCATACATGTCTAAAATCCCAAGAGGATGGTGGAGAAGGATTGCAGCATGGCCATCCCCCAAGGGAGATTTCTCACTTTCTCTGTCTCAATCTCTTTCTGATGAGAGTATGCGTCCTATAGCTAAAAACAAAAACATAAACAAATCTATCTTGATTATATGTTGAAATATTTTTTTTTCCTTTAAATTTTATTTTTTTCTGGGACCAGTATTTGGTGTAATGGCTACATCGCTGGGCTCCCATGTAGTTGACCATGGTCTGAGTCCCGGACCCAGTGGCTTAAACTCAAGCTATGTGCATGTGCATGCGTGCCCAAGATCCTGAGGGGAGAATGGAGGACAAGGGATTGTGGCATGACCATCCCCCCTGGGGGGTGATTTCTCGCCGCTTTCTGTCTCTCTGTCCCTCTCTTTCTGTTGAGCACACGCGCCCTATAGCAAAAACCTCTCAAAAACAATAGAATTTAAGTATGACTCAAAAAAAAAAAAAAAAAAAAAAACCCTAAAATAAATAAATAAATGACCCATGGGGCCGACAGATGGCATAGGTTAAGGTGTTGGACTCTCACAGGGCTGACCATGATTAGAGTTCCAGACCCAGCAGTTTGAAAATCATGCTGGATGCATGTGTGTAAGTGCCCAAAATCCCAGGAAAAGGGATGCGGCATGGCCATTTCTCACTTCCTGTCTATCTCCCTGATAAGTGCACACACCCTATGGCAAAAGATGTAAAAACAAAACAAAACAAACCTATGTGGCTACTAGGGGCAGAAACTAAGTTTTGGGGGGACAGATAATCGAGATATTGATACCAGCATTGGGTTAACTGCAGGGCAGAAGGGCAAGGTTAATAGGACATGGGGAATGTGTAATTTAGGAACAAGTTCAGATTCTCAAAGTTAGACTCTGAAGGACAGGGCTGAGTGGTGGGAGGTCAGGTGTCTGTGACATTATAGGGAGCAGAGAGGCTGCGCAACAAGGGCTGAGTGACAGGGGGATGTGCTCACAATACGGCTGGGTGAGGGACAAGATGTGACTGGGTAAAGTTGGGGATGTCAGGTTGGGGCCAGCTCCACACTTACCGCTTCTGCTCCCTAGGAAAAGAAAAGAGAGACACCGTTAGATGGTGGCAACAACTCAGAGACATGGTCAAGATGCTGTTCTGAGCCAGCCTTCTCCTGATCCCCAGCTCACCTCTCCTCTTCCAGCTTCTTCCGTAGGATGTCCCGCCTCCAGGCAGGCATGCTGGCCAGCCAGGCCTCCTCCTCCTCCTCCTAAACACAAGCAGAAAGCTTCAGAGCCAGAGGCTGGGGGGATGGGGCTAGATGGGGTACACCCTCAACCTGGGGGACCTGGAGGATTCAAGGACAATGGGACGTAGATGTGGTTGCAGAAAGAGCCCCTTTTGATGCCCTTCTATGGGACAAATGAATGAAGGTGCCTAGTCACAGATCCCTCAGAGGGTACCTCCTATCTCCCGATAACCCAGGCCCCCAGGTCAGAGTTCAGAGCTGAATGTACGGCTGGAGCAGAGAGTGAAACAGGTGGAGCCCCCCCCCGGGCCTGAGCCTGACTCCCTAAAGGGCAGGGGAACAGATGGCCTCAGGCCCATGACCCAGAATCTCCGAGCTGACACAGGCTTGTGTCCTGCACATCCTGCCAGCTCAGGGAAAGGCAGGCTGCCTGAGGCTTCTCTGGGAAGGGTCTCCGGCCCATGCCTCCTTCTGGTGAGGACATCAGCTCTACAACTGTGGGGCCGCAATGGCATCGGAGGTGTGTGTGTGTGTGTGTGTGTGTGTGGGGTGCCCAACACGGCAGCTTGCAGCACAGAATTTTATTTCCTAGATGTACATATCACACCGCACATGTAACTCCCTTGACCTCAACCAAGGAGGTAGCTGTGAACTCCAGCAAAGAAAAAGACCCCACTATTCCAAGACGGACCCACAGATCCTCATTCAGAGGGGCTGCTTTTGCTGCCTGGTCCCACACAGAACCCAGCAAGGCTATGAGGCAAGAGACCGGGTTTGCAGTGTTTTCCATGCCCGCCTTCCTAGCCAATGCCCCATATCCTGGCACGATGGGACCTCAAAGGCTGAGAGGCAGCCTGGTCTGGAGCATTGCAAAGCCAGCCATCGCGTGTTCTGCCTGCTTCCAGCCTCTGGAGGGCATCAGACAGGCAGCCGGCCCAGGTTAGGATGCTTAAGGATAAATTCCAAATTCCACTGTTCAGATGTCAAACAGTTCGGCCTCCTTCTCCTTCCAGAAGGAGAAGCTGCGGTCGATGTAGCGGCAGATGTCCTCGTTGCTGAACTCGCCCATCTCGGACACCAGCTCCAAGGGATCTTCAGCGAGCGGTTCTGGTTCGGAGCAACTGGGAGGGTCCGAAGTCGGGGGAGGCGCGGCAGGAGGGGGCGGGAGCTGCCCTTCTGGCTTGTCCTCCATCTGAGCTAGAGCGGCCTCTTCGGCTAGCTCTTTCTCCTCTTCCTCCCTCTTCTCCTCCACCCACTCCCTCTCCTCTTCCACCTCCTCTTCTTTCTCCTTCTCTTCCTGCTTGGTCTCTTCCCTGGGCTCAGCCTCTGGGCTGTCTCCAAAGAACTGGCTCCTGAGGTCCTCAAAGCCATCGTTCCAGTCACGCCGGCCAGCCTCCACCTCCTCGAGCACGATGCGGTGGAAAAGGCGGATGAGCTCCCATGGGTGGCTGCCCAGCCGGTCGAACATCTCGTAGCACAGCAGGTGCCGGAACTTGCGCTCCTCGCGGCTCAGCCCCATCTCTAGCAGCTGGAAATAGCCTAGCATGAACAGGTCAAGCGTGAGGCTATCGTAGCTCGGGGGCGCGCCGCCGTCGAGGGGCGGCAGGAAGTGCTCGGGCCAGTATAGGCCGTGCGCCAGGCTCGCACCACGCGGTTGCGGCGCCGGCACCTGCCGCAGGAGGCTCCGCCAGTGGGCCAGCAGCCTGCCTACCACCCGCCCC